TAATGTTCTTGTGGAATGTATACAACTTACCCTTGTTCATGCAAATGCTGATTTCTCTACCCCTCAATCTGATTTCAATCCAGACATTGCATTGTGATGCTTATTCTAAGCATCACCTGTCTCAACTTTGTGTAAACATGACACTATTTAGTCTCTGTATTGGCAATAAAACAATCATAAAATGCTGAGCAATGGAGAGAATAGGGTGAGACATCTTGGTCTGGAGGGGAGGAGAAAGAAGCAAGTGGGAGGAATCGAAGAAGAGAGATAGGGAGGAGAAGACTTGGAACCATGAGGAGAGATGATCTGGACCTAAGATATGACAAGAAGCAAATTTAATGTGGAAAATCTGAATGGTAGGGAACTATGCGAGCTTGGAGGTTTAAGATGGAGGAACTATTGCCCAGCATTGCACTCTAGGTTAATGAAATAAACCCTAGTCTCTGTGTGGTGATGTAGGTATATGGCTGGTTTAGGAATAACTGCTGTTTAACTAAAAGATAAATAAATAATAAATATTAATAATTAACAACAAGGCTATAAGAGGACAGTGAGAGGGGTCCACAGGAAGGAGAAAAGCTGGATCCACTGCAATATTAGAAAGTCTCCATTCAACCCACCACAACCTATGTCCTGCTCTAGTTTGGTTCTCTATTGTGGTAAATACCATGACAACAAACAACGTGGGTGGAAAGGGTTTATTCGGCTTGCAGGTCACAGATCATCACTGAGATAAGCCAAGGTGTGAATCCAAAGGTAAGAAATAAGGCAGAGACCACGGAGGAATGCTGCTTCTTGGCTTGCTTTCCCTGTCTTGCTCAACTAACTATCTTTTTGAACCCAGACGCATTTCAATAATGATGGTATAATGATAGTATCTTCCATGATGGGCTAAGCTCTCCTATATCAATTAGCAACCAAGATAGGGACAATGGGATAATCTGATAGAGGCAATTTGTTAATTGAAATTTCCTCTTCCCTGGTGATTTTACTCTGTGTCAAGGTGGCAAAAATTACCTGAGACACATCCCATCAATGGTAACTATCATTCTTTCAGTGTAAGGTATTTCTCTTAATGAAGCTTCCCCTGGCTTTTAAAGGGAAGGCTTTCTTTCCCTGTAAGCCCTCATTGTGATGCTTCAAGTACGACATCCTCCCTGTGTAATGTTCTCTCACCTCAAGGCCTGATATGGCTCCCAAAGTTTGTAAGACCCTCTCTTCTAATGAAGCTTCTGTCTAAAGGGTAATTTTCAGTTAGCCACTTTCCAAAACAAACCATCAACATACTCTTTTCTTTAGCAATGTCCATCCAGGCAAACAGATATCTTCTATTGTCAAATAGAATAAAAAACTGCTTAAAAAAATGGAGTCTTCTGGGGGAAAGCAAAGTCTGAAGGAACATTGTTTTACACAATATGGAGTGACTTAGAGCAGGAGACAACCTGATCTCAACACCTTGCTAAATAAAAGAAGCATATAAGTAGGTACAATGTTCATTTCTCTACTGATATGGACAGTTCTGCATAGGAGACAAGATGAAGATTAGTGTGTCCCTGCATACACTGTCATGGCACAGACATTGACTAACTGGGATTCAAAATGGTGAAAAAGCTGAAGAAATGATGTTGGGAAATGCAAATGACAGGTAATGTCTGACAAGCTGGGATTGGCCAAAGGCTGTGATCCAGTATGAGCTCCCCATGAATACCCAACAGAGTTTCTCATAAGTATACTTTGAGCATGAGCTTTACCTAAATTCATATAACCTCTGAATACTCCATCTGTGTTGATGAGAATGTGATGGGCTCAGGTGTTTTTTTGTTTTGTTTTGTTTTGGTTTGGTTTTTTTGCTTAGAAGCAAAGACAAGTCTGGACAGAATCTGTTGCTATTCCTGCAGGGGAGCCTGACTATTGCCAGAGCCCTTAGAGATCTGCAAGAATGAAACACAGCGAGGGACAGTGGGGGAGCACGGAGTCCCATCCCAGACCCAGGAGGCTGTGTGTGCTCACAGGCAATTAAGCACCATGGATACTTGCACCAACATTCATGTGGCATTTTTTGCCAAAGTCAGAGATTCTTAAACTGAAATTCAAAGTACTATCAAAACACTTGATAGGCAATAAAATGATTTTCTCACTGCTAGCTCTGGCTATATTAATAGTAGTGTGCCACTGAGTTTGAGTCTTGGAAAGACTCACCCACAACCAGAGATTTCATGACTCATTAGGATCCTCAGAGTCAAAACAATATAATAGTAATAATAATAATAATATAAAAGCAATAGCCCTGCTGTGTGATGAGGTGCCTGAGACCCCAAGAGAGAAAGAAAGAGATAACTGGTAAAGAGACAAGAGCTAGAATTCCCCCTCCTAGACTTCACTCATGTCTTTTCATTCATCTAAAGTCTATCATGGGCTTTTGTACCTGCATCTCAGCCTGCATTTGCCATGGGAACTCATGTCTATTCAGTTGTGAAATGAAGAAAATCAAAAGCCAAAACAATCGCCTGAGATGGTGTGCTGAAAAATGAGGCATTGAACATCCATTACTGTGCATTTCACAAAACTCCAGAGCAAGAGACCAGAGGTAATTTGTGTCACCTTTGCTTTGTCTTTGTTGTCTTCTATGGCGCTCGAAGGGTGCAATCACTGTGGCCCTGATAGAAATATCCCAGTATTCTGAAGTTCCCAAACTGGATACCAGGTGCTGCTGCACAAATCCAAAGCCTCTGCAACCTGACTAAAGAAAGAGGAGACTATTTGAAATTATAAAATACTAGTTTTAAAATAACAATATAACTTAAAATAATGTTGATAATTTATGGTCTCTAGAACAGCGTTTCCTGAGAGAATTAAGACAAATCACTGCTGGTGATAAACATATCTTTGCCAAGGAGTATCCTTGGCAACCAGAGGGTAATTGCTCAGAAAGAGCTGCCTTCTGGTAAGAAAGAGAGGAAGCATTCCCAGGCATTCTGAGGAGGCTGTGGACTAAGCCTGAAAGCTCAGGAGGAATTCTCCCTCTGTGAGCAGTGAGGAGTGCTCATTAACCCAGTGTGGCATTTTATTAGATGAAGCCGAACTATGAAGGACATCAGGGAGAGAGCTCTCTGAGAATCGAGCTATTCACTAAGTCTTGTTGGCAACATCTTGAAAGTATAAGGGTAGAAGATGTGAACCTCCACACTTTGGAAAGTGAAGACTCCACACACTTTGCACACCAATAGCACTTGGTCAAGGCAGGAGTGTCACCGCAGTGTGACTTAGGAAGGTGGAGCCAGCCTTGGAGAAATGAGGTTAGGCTCTTAGATCACCACTGAGTTAGAAATAACCTTTCTTTTTGGAAACACTAGAGTCAGTGGGAGATGGACTATGTTTAACTAACTAGTAAGAAATCATAGAGTGAGGATGAGGTGAAGGCAATGAGCGTCATAGTAAGGTGTGGCCTGGGTGACTTGTGACCCTAATGCTATCATGTGAAAAACATCCATGTGGAGGGTTATAGTGGGAAGAGCTCGTGTAGAAGAATTGTCTTTAAAAAATGAGAAGGAATTTCTTTCAGTAGTATATTTTTATTCATTAAAAAAATCAAAACCATTCTCACATACTCTATGAAATGATGTAGAAAAAATGAAAAAAAAAATGTAGCCCTCCAGTGCATTGTGTGGGCATCGATTGGACCAGAGAATAAATATGGAAACACAAAGATGACTGGCTGTAAAACAATAAGAAAGATAAATGCCCCCAACACACCAAACTTCTATTGATATCTTGTTCACAATGACTCCTTTTAGCCTATTAAAGAAAGTAGATAGGCGAAGAACTATAAAGTGCTAGTAAATTTTAGAGATTTGGAATTAATTCCAAGTGTCGCTTTGTTATCTGTGAGTTTACTTAAACTGTATTTTTTTTGGGGGGGGTGAATGCTTTCAGAAACTTGGTCTACAGGACCCCTGTTTCCCATCACGTGTCTAGTATACAGCTGATAACCAAATTCCTTATGTAGTGCGTTTAGTTTATTATAAATTTTAATGCTATAAGTAAAGCTTATACACTGTGGCTTTTGTTTGTTTTGTTTTTAGATCTCTACTCATTCCTTAAAATGTTCTTTGGAGCAAAACCATGTGATCAAATGTTCCACACATTTTCCATGATCCAGAAACTTGTGCTGCGTTTTATTCTGACTACGTTCTATGAACTTTGTTCTAAAGGTAGAAGGGGGAATGTTTGAGAATGAGCAGAGAGGATGACTGGAAGACTGGGAATCATGATAAAATGACCTGAAAACAAGAGATTTGTCTTGAGTGAGGGCCTAGCAAGCAAGGGAGCAGAAATGGCTGGAGGTGTGGCTACACAGTGGATTGCCTGCATGGCATGCTCAAAGTCCTGGGGTTGTACAGGATTTTTCTAAGGTGGCTTAGCCATTGGTGGGGTTAATGTGGCACAGAAACTGTGTGACTTTTTTTACATCATATTAACAAAAATGGCAGAACACCGATTTAACGTGAAGCCTCCTAATTCCACTTCTTTTAGTTTTAGTTTTCCATTCTGTCGTTTCTGCACCTGGAAGAGAAAGTGTGGTCTTCTGTCGCCACTTTTGATACTTTGTGATGAAGCAGGATGCCCTTCCTCATCTTTGGAAGACCATGGAATTGGCTGCCATCAGACTTGAAGAAGCTGACAATGCTAAACCAGAGGGAACAGTTTCTACACATTAAAATAACGTTGGAACTGAAACCTATGACTCTGTCGTTATTTATCGTTGCAAAGCATACAGGATCTTCAGCTGTCTCCTCTCAGAGGATTGCTCAGCTCCCATTCCAGATCCATAAATTGCGAGTGATTGTGAGATCTCTGTCTGCAACATGAAATTATGTAGTGGGAGCAGCAAGCAGGTCACTGGGTTGAGGCACATACACACACTAACACTTCATCGAGATGCTTTCTTCAAACGGATGAGATTTCAACACTTCCATTACCCTCGAACTCGCCATATTACAATGGATAACAGAAAGAAGTGCTTGGTTCTGGGGTTAACTGTGCTTTTATGGGTTGGATTACATACTCAAAATGAGGAAGAATATGATGATTCACCCTATAATGAGACGTGCAGGTTGATGCGCAAGTTTAATTTGAGTGGATATGTAGAAGCCGAAAACCATTCCTTTGTTGTTGGAGGATTATTTCCTATTCACTCTAGGACCATCCCAACAAATGACTCTGATGAGCAATCAGTATCAGCCATGTGTGAGGGGTAAGCCGTTGTTAAATCTTTTTTTCCACAATATTTTGGGTGGCTGGAGAAGAGTGGTCTGCATGGGGCCTGTATTCCAGTTGGAGTGCTCTGATTCTGGCTTTATCTGACTTTATCTCAGTTTCTAAGGGGAGAGATTTTGTCTGTTTGCTCCACAGAGGGTTATCTGTGGACGACCACCGCCAGCAGCAGTAGCAGTAGCAGCATCTAAAAGCTTGTTAGACTTTTAGAATCAGGGGTCGAATACTACATCTGCTGAACAGAATCTACACCTTCAGAAGACCTTTCTGAACACCTCAGTGAACACTGAGGTTTGAGAAGGAAGAGGCTGTGCTGCGTGGCTGCAGCTTTACTGTTAGCTGTTACAACCTCAAGTTCAAGTGTGTAGTGTAGGAGCTCTGCTTTGTTTCTGAGGCAGTTTTCATTACATAATGCTAACATGCAGGAAAACTTCTGTCCCTCCTGCTGTCTCCTCTAAAATATCATAGCAAGAAACAGAATTCCTAAAACTCAGATAGAGTAATCTATTGTGAGAAAAACAAAATTGGGATAGAACAGATATCTGGGAATATATGTATCACTCACAATCACACACACTCGGAGGACAGAAAAAGAAAGAGAAGTTTAGATATGAAAAGAATGCCAGAAATTAAAAGAAAACTAATCACTTACAACAATTGCATTCCTATCACAAAATCAGCTTTTTTTTTTTTTTTACTTTTTTATATCTCTTTTTGGATCTTTTTAAAAATAAATTTAAGGGTTTAAATAGTACAAGGGCAGCACAGGCACTATTTATATTGGACCAGGCTTTTCGGTGATGCTGTGTGCTGTGTAGATGCATATTTAAATATTTTTGCAGTTTCTTACATCATTACATTTGTATCAGTCACAACTCCTTTCTTTTATACTATATCATGCTCCATAATCGAGTTTTAATGGAAGAGTAATCTTCAGTACTGTTGTTGACAAAGTGAAAAGTTTGTGATGAGTCCCTAATTACCACTTTCTCCGTCCCTCTAATTGGTTTCCACTGTCAGAGGGAAGCAAAGGGCACAAGAAGTGAGGTATTACTTAGTTATCAGAGCAGCGCTTAATCACAGCTACTTCTTTATCATAATGCACCACACTAATCTTTCTTAAGTCAAATTACCTAATTTAGTCTCCAGTCTTTGCCGGAACTTCTAAAGCTTATTTTATCCAAAAGTTTAGATGAAAAAGACAACACACACACACACACACACACACACACACACACACACACACACACACGCTTTTTGGCTTACAGAGATAGGTGTTACACTTATCCCTGGCTGTCCAGTAAATTACAATGTAGACTAGCTCAGCCTTGTAAAATTTTCTTCTGCTTCTGCCTTATGAGTGTTTTCATTACAAGTAGGTGTTACCTAGGTTTTCTTATTTTTCAATATAAATTCTTTGCCTCTTAGATATAATTTTGCATGTCTTATGATATAAACAATATGAGAAGTAAAAATATCTACTTAGAAAACTAATTTCTTCATTAGGGGTATTTAGTAATCTGCTTAATCATAATTATGATTTGAGTGGATACTGTCTCAGAGTTATACTGTTTTAAAAAATATTTCCTTAAAATTTGTTGTATATAATCTGTTTTCACCATTAAGAATCCACAGTTCCTCTGTTTGCTCCCAGGCCCATTGTTCTCTAAACATTTCACCCTTTCTCCATATGACACGAATTCTCCCAGTGTGCGAATCCCTGGACCAGACTCACTCATGTGGTGTTCAGAAGTGAGGGTGGACCTAAGCTGCTGTTAATTTCATCTTGTCATCATTAACTTTAACAGCAAATGGCTCAGAAATTTCATTCTGAAATCCACAACTTTAGCAAGATGGTAGTTTCAGGTGGCCATAGCTTAAGTTTTATAAAAGAGGAAGATCTTACAGTATTTTGATAATATTACAATGAAATGCTACAAGAAGAGAGTGATTTATTTCTTGCTTTGGTTAAAGCATACAAAGGTTAAATTTACAAAAAAAAATTTTGAGAAAAGTGATGCATAGTATGTAATAGTACTGTGGGAATCATAATAGAAATCAATGAAAGAAGAAAATTCACCCCAAACCTCACCTATTTACATTGAGATGTTTTCCTTGTTAGCCTTTAAAGGGCCCAGCTCTGCAGTTTTAATCATAGTAAGTTGCCTGCTGCCCATTTCACTGCCTCTTCTGGTCACACTGCTGTGTCATTTCTCTAGTTGAGGTTTGTTAATAATAGAAAATGTTCCCACCCACATGCCAATCCACCACTGGACATAGATTAGTCCAGTTTTACTGTATTGTCAATCAGTTTGGGGCAAATAACTTTTTTTTTCCTTTGGGAAGGACAATTTATTTGTCTAATTTAAATATAGAGTCACTCGAATCAAGTGTTTTTCTTCTATCTCTTGAAATGAAATTCTTTTATTTATTTATTTATTTATTTATTTATTTATTTATTTATATATTCACTTTACATCCCAATCATAGACCCTCCCTCTTCTCCTCTCATTCTCATCCTTCCTTCCACTTCTCTGTATTCTCTCTCCCCTGCTCCTCAGACAAAGGGAACTTCCCCCCTACCAGCTTACACTAGCACATCAAGTACCATCAGGACTTAGTACATCTTCACCAGGCCTGTGGCCCCCCTCCCCTTTCTAGAGGACCAACATGTTGGCCACACTACCAATAGCCTATGTTTATGTAAGGGGCCTAGGTCTAGTCCATGTGTGGTCCTTGGTTGGTGCTTCAGTCTCCACTGGGGTCTCTGGTACCTGGCTAAGTTGGCTCTGTTCATCTTCATGTGGTGCTCCTTTCCCCCTTTGGGTCCTTCTATTCTTCTCCCATTCTTCCACAAGAATGGCTCTCAGCCCAATGTTTGGCTGTGAGTCTCAGCATCTGTTTCTGTGCCCTGTTGGGTGGAGCCTATCGGAGCACATATATGTTGGGCCCCTATCTGCAAGCATAGCAGAGTATTGTCAATAATGTCAGGGGTTGTCTGTCTCCCATGGGGGTGGGTCTTAGGTTGGGCCGGGCATTGATTGGACATTCCCACAATCTCTGCTCTGTATTTATCCTTGCACAGCTTGTAGTCAGGGTAAAATTTGGGTCAAAGGTTTTGTGGATGGGTTGGTGTTACCCTCCCTCCTCTAGGAGTGTTATCTAGTTAGAGGTGGTCTCTTCAGTCTCTGCGATCCTTGATGCTAAGAGTTTTAGCTAGACTCATCCTCATATTCTCCCAGAAGCCTAATCTGTCATAGGTCTCTAGCTTGTCATAGAGATACCCTCTCCCAGGTTTTCTCTTTGCAAGTCCTCTGCTCTCCCACCCCCTCTCCCCAGTCTGATCAACACCCTCATTTCTCTCTATGCTCCTTCTGTAACCCTGTTTCCTCTCTTCAACCACATCTGCTATCCTATTTCCACTCTAAATAAAAGTCTCTTACTTTTATTTTTATTTTTTTATTAATTACAGTTTATTCACTTTGTATCCCAACTATAGCCCCCTTCATCATCCCCTCCTAATCCCGTACTCCCTCTCTCTTCTCAACCCATGCCACTCCCTCAGTCCACTGATAGGGAAGGTTCTCCTCCCCTTCCATCTGACCCTAGCCTATCAGGTCTCATCAGGACTAGCTGCTTTGTCTTCCTCTGTGGCCTGGTAAGGCTGATCCCCACTCCGGGGGCGGGGAGAGAGCAAAGAGCCAGCCACTGAATTCATGTTAGAGACAGTCCCTGTTCCCTTTACTAGGGAACCCACTTGGACACTGAACTGCCATGGAATACGTCTGTGCAGGGGTTCTAGGTTATCTAGACCATGCAAGGTTGCATGGTCCTTGGTTGGAGTATCAGTCTCAGAAAAGATCCCTGTGCCCAGATTTTTTTTCCCTCTCCTTGTGGAGTTCCTGTCTCCTCCATGTCTTTCTAGCTCCCTCTTCTTTCATAAGATTCCCTGCATTCTGCCCAAAGTTTTGCTATGAGTCTCAGCCTCTGCTTTGAGAGTCTTTCAGAGTCCCTCTGTGGAAGGCTCTTGTCCTGTTTCCTGTTTTCCCTGTTTTTCAAAGTCTATCCTGTTTGCCTCTCTGAAAGAGGATTGATCATCTTACACGGGGGCCTTCTCCTTGTTTAGCTTCCTTTAGGTATACAGAATTTAGTATGATGATCCTATATTCTATGTCTAATATCTACTTATAAGTGAGTATACACCATGTGTGTCTTTCTGCTTCTGGGATACCTCACTCAGAATGATGTTATCTAGTTCTCACCATTTACATGCAAATTTTGAGATTTCCTTGTTTTTAATTGCTGAGTAGTATTCCATGGTGTAAATGTACCACAATTTCTGTATTAAAAAAATGGAGTACATGAAAGGCTCTGCCCTACAGATTACCAAAGCAGACACTGAGACTTAAGGCCAACTGATGGGCAAAGTGCATGGAATCTTAAGTAAGAAGTGGGAAATAGTAAGATCTGGAGAGGACAGGAACCCCACAAGGAGAGCAACAGAACCAGAAAATTTGAACACAGGGGTCTCCCCAGGGACTCATATTCCAACCAAGGAACATGCATGGAGATAACCTAGAACTCCTGCACAGATGTAGTCCATGACAGCGTAGTATCCAAGTGGGTTCCATAGTAATGGGAAGAGGGACTGCCTCTGACATAATCTGATAGGCCTGTTCTTTGATCACCTCCCCCTGAGGGGAGAGCAGCCCTACCAGGCCACAGAAGATGACAATGCAGCCATTCCTGATGGGATCTGATAGACTAAGATCAGAAGGAAGGAGAGGAGGACCTCCCCTATCAGTGGACTTGGGAGGGGCAAGCGAGAAGAAGGGGGAGGGAGGGTGGCGCTATGAGGGGAGGAGGGAGGGGCTTATGGGGGGATACAAAGTGAATAAACTGTAATTAAAAAAAATAAAAAATAAAAAAGATTAAAAAATGGAGTACAGAGCTAAACAGAGAATTCTCAAAAGAGGAATTTTGAATGGCAGAGAAATGCTCAACATCCTTAGCTATCAGAGAAATGCAAATCAAAACAACTCTGAGATTTCATCTTACACCCATCAAAATGGCTAAGATGAATAACTCAAGTGACATCACATGCTGGAGAGGATTCGAAGAAAGAGGAACACTTCTCCATTGATGGTGGGAATGTAAACTTGTACAACACTTTGGAAATTAATCTGGCACTTTCTCAGACAATTAAGAATAGTGCTACCTCAAGATTCAGCTATACCACTCCTAGGCATATACCCAAAAGATGCTCAAGTATACAACAAGGACATTTGCTCAACCATTTTCATAGCAGCTTTATTTGTAATAGCCAGAATCTGGAAACAACCCAGATGTCCCTCAGTTGAGTAATGGATACAGAAATTATGGTACATTTACACAGTGGAATACTATCTTACTTTTAAAAGATACTACTTTACTTATTTTTTTATGAAGTAATAATGTCACCATTCTCATCTTGAAAACTAAGTAACAGGATGGTAAAATCTTTTGTGTTCTGGTCTCTTCTGTCTTTTAATTTTTTTGTGTGTTACCGCCTCCACTCTGTCTTCCAAAAATACTAAACTTTTCCAATGATTTTCTAGGTGTATTAACTTTCTCTAGCTGTCGTAAATTCTCTCCAGCTGTCTGTCTGCAGCCCTCTGCCCATTTCTCTATCATCCTTCAAGCCCTGGTGTATCTGTGAGTTCATCTAGGGTGCATGCTCTTTGAGTTTCATTGCTCATACATCTATTTCCATCACTTTTTAAAAATCACTTTGCATGATTCCTTTTCCTTTTCCTTACGTAGATTAACAGTTCCTGGGTAAAGAAATTGAAAACAGGCTCTTGATTACTACGCCAGAGGAACGCGGCAGCTGCATAGTCAATTAAAAGCAAAACTAAACCAAAACACAAATTAAATAGACTGATCTGAGGAGAGGGCTCACTTGCAAAGCCTTGCCTTGCAAGAATGAGGTCCTGAGTTAGAGGCCCAAGACCCACAAAAAAATGTTTGGTATGGTGGCATTTTGCAGTAGAAAAAGACAGGAAGTTCACTAAAGTTTGATGGACAGCTGGGCTAGCCAAGCAAAGATCCAAGTTCAGTAAGACACCCTGTCTCAGACAGTAAATTGGAGAGTGACTGAAAAACGACACCTGACACTGACATCTCTTCCCCACATACATCAGAAGGAGCATGCATACAGACAGAAAGGAAAAATCCAAATGGTGACTAGAGATATTTACTTTTAGGTCCTGAATTTAAAATAATTTGCTAAGCTGAAGATATAAAGTTAAATAGTACAGCTAGCTACAGAGTATAGCAAGAAAACAGGTACTTAAATGTCTTGCACTGTTTTCTTGAAGTATGGTTAGAATTCAGGTGAAAAAGAGGAAGAGAAGAGGAGTTTTTAAGTGTTGTTTCATGTAGAAGGCCTTGCAAACAATATAATGATGGGCTACAAAAGAAGTATTTCACTTTTAACAGATGTAGAATAAAGAATAGTAGTCTCACATTTATGTTTTTACGTGAGAATAGCAAGAAGTTAACTTCAACTAAACACCTCTCAATAGTAAGATGCATGCTGTAACTGGAAGATAGTATATGGAAATTTACATGCTGATTTTAATAGCTGCTGTTATAAGTATTTAATGTGTTCAAATTATTTTTATCATTATTACTAATATTCAGAAAAAGAGCCAAGAAGGAGAGAAGAATCATATCCCTAGGGACCTCCAATGAAATGGTCAGCATATTCTAAGGGACTGTTAGTTGTGTTTGCTGAAGAAAATTGTGACTAGAAGAACAATTTTTGAAAGGAAATAACCAGAAATTTGAAAATATTGTAGCATATAAGAGATATATACGACAAAAAAGTGTAAAAGTCACTTATAAAGACTGAATGTGACTCATATTTGAATCTTTTATGATTGTAAGTGTGATTCATAAAAACAAAAAACAAAAAAGATACATGCGGACACTGGTACCGGCTGCGGCTTCAACAAAAAGCTGTAACCACTGCTTAACTGAAGGCACTTCCTAAGCAGCCTCTATCCCCAACCCCCCAGTGGCCAGTGCCTCACAAAAGCTTTTCCTTTCCAGGTTTAACTTCCGTGGTTTCCGCTGGATGAAAACCATGATCCACACCATCAAGGAGATCAATGAGAGGAAGGACATTCTGCCCAACCACACTATGGGCTATCAGATCTTTGACACCTGTTTCTCCATCGCCAAATCAATGGAGACCAGCTTGGCGTTTCTTACAGGACAGGAGGAATACAAGCCCCAATTTAGAAACAGCACTGGAAAATATCTAGTAGGAATTATTGGAGCAGGGGGATCATCCTTGTCAGTTGCTTCTTCAAGAATTATGGGGTTGTATTACCTCTGTCAGGTATCTTGGAATCGTGTTCTATGTACTTAGAAATACAAATGCTATGCCAGGTCGGGTGGCACCACGTCTTTAAACCCACAGTGTGGGACGCAGAGGCAGGTGGATCTCTGTAAGTTGGAGTCTACAAAGGGAGTTTCAAGACAGTCAGAGTTGATACACACAGAAAACCTGTCTCAAAAAAAAAAAAAATAGAGAGAGAGGATAGGAACAGCGTGCAGAAATTATTGCAAATAACAGTGAGGTCCAAAGAGGCTGAGCTAAGATACAGAGACAACATAGAATGGGGCAGGGGTACTCCCAAATTACTCTGGTCAACCAAACCCCTACAGCCTGTTTAGAGGTGACTTGAGATTGTTCTATCTCCTGGAGCATCTTGCTTGTACTGACTGAGTTGTGACACAGTGACATGGATATTAATATCTTTCTAGTCACTGAGCTTCGTGCACTGTGTGGAGCACAGTAGAGGTCATCCATGAATTCCTGGTGGTTGATTGGTGGCTGGAAAAAGGCACAGGATTTTGTTTGGGTCTCTGTTACTGCTTGTCAGCCATGAGCAAAATCATCTCACTGACATATTAAAATGAGCCTGGGAATTTCACATTAGCTAATTTAACAGGTTATTTTAAACTCAGAGAGGGTGACATGTCAATACAAGAATAAGTAATTGCAAAACATGAATTATTATGAAAAAATTCTAGAGATATTTTAATGGAGGTGTCCTTAAAGTGTCAGAATGTATTAATATGAATGATAAGCTCGTTGGTGATATTGAAGTAACAGGAGTATTTCACTCACATTCCTTCCCTCCTTCCATCCTTCAGTTCTTTCTCCCTTCTTTTCTTCCTTCTTTTTCTTTTCCTTTCCTTTTCTTTCTTGCTTGCTTTTCTTTTCTTTTTTCTTTTGATACTAGGGATAAAATCCAGGGACTGTTTCATGGTAGACAAATGCTGCATTAATGATCCACAACCTCAGCCCAACATAATATTTAACTTAGAGAGTTTCAGAATGAGAGTGTGGGAAGCATAGGAAAGTACTGTGGAACAGAATACAAGAAAAAGTGGGCGACTTGGCATTTATTTTAGGAGTGGGCTCCATGTAGCTCATTCAAACTGCAGCTGCTATGAGCTCTATTTTCCACTAAACTCTAATAAACTCAAGCAAAGCTTAGAAATTTCTAGATATATTTCTCCATAAAGCCTTTAGTAAGTCTGGGGAGAAAGTATAAAATAAATCTTTGGTTTGATCCTTTAATATCAGAAAACCTAAAAATCTATGTTATTGTTGTGTTAATTTTCTTGTGGAGAAAACAAAGACTCAGGAAGGCCAAGTAACAAGATCTTATATTATAAATAATTTACATAACCTCAGAAATTTCAAGTCATTCTTTCTTAACGAGATTCATCCCTGCATAATACCGCCTACGAATCTGCTGTTTGTGTGGTTAGAAAGGAAAAATACAAACATTAGCCAGTGGAGTAAAAACAGTAAAGAAGGACAGAAGGAAAAGTGAGCACAGGAATGATGCAGTGTTCATGATGGAATCAAATGGAGCTTAGGAGTTACAGAAGATCAAAAGAGGTGATGCCTTCATACATGAGGCTGGATGGGGGAGAAGGTAACATGTTTTGGGGTACACTCAGCCACATGTAGGGTATACTACAGCAAAGATAAATGAATGATTGTCAGGAATATGTGCTCACTTGACCTCAAGGCTTAAGTCTTCCTAAATGCCGAAGACAAACATGGACTCCTGTCCAACTGAGGGAAGCATGCTGGTCATTTATCTGGCTGTGTACATTAAAAAGAGAGTTTCTGGTAACCTCGTTGGAAAATAGTGTTTAGACTTCTGGTTGGAGTAGTACATTCTATCAATCTATCTTAAGCCAAGTTTTAGGACCTGTATACTCCTGAGTCCTGACAGGAGGAAACTGAAAGAGAGAAGGAAGAACAGAAGGGAAGTAAGGGAGCAGAGGTGAGCGCAGGAGAGCACACAGGAAACAAACACATGTTACTGAGAAGACTGAGACTTGGACTCAGTCCATCATCTCTGCACTTGAGATGCTAAAGCTGAGTCCAGACATCCTGACTCAGGGAATCACCACTGTCCAGGAGGATAAAGGAGAGTGGAAATGACCTTCCTGACAGTGTTTACGGTCTCACCCATGAAAACGAGTGCTTTGAGTGTCTTCATCTGAACAGCTGACAACCCTAACAGCTTTGTTTTGATAGAACAACCATAGTGTTGCTGGAATAGTCCCCACCCCCACCCACCAAGTAGAAGCACCAGTAGGAAGCCATTGTCTACAGAAGGATGTGAGGGCAAAGGGAGAACTGTTTAGCTCACTCCTTCTCAGTATTCTGAAGCTGCCACTTAAGGTTTGGCTCTGACTTCCTAATGACTATAAATATTTTCAATTTTAGGTGGGCTATTTTTCTTCCTGCTCAATTCTTAGTGACAAATTCCAGTTTCCATCTTTTTTGCGCACAATGCCCAGTGACAAGATCCAGTCTGAGGCCATGGTGAATCTTATCCAACACTTTGGTTGGGTCTGGGTAGGTGCTATTGCAGCTGATGATGATTATGGAAAATATGGAGTAAAATCCTTTAGGGAAAAAATGGAGAGTGCCAACCTCTGTGTTGCTTTCACTGAAACCATTCCCAAAGTCTACGACAACGTGAAAATGTACCGTGTTGTTAAGACAATAAAGAGTTCCACTGCCAAAGTCATTGTGCTTTATACTTCTGACATTGACCTCAGCCCTTTTGTGCTGGAAATGGTTCATCATAACATAACTGACAGGACATGGATAGCCAGCGAAGCCTGGATTACCTCCGCTCTCATTGCAAAGCCGGAATACTTTCCATATTTTGGTGGAACTATTGGATTTGCAGTACCAAGAAGTGATATACCAGGGTTAAAAGAATTTCTTTATGATGTCCACCCCAGCAAGGATCTGAATAATGTCCTGACCATTGAATTCTGGCAAACTGCTTTTAACTGTACCTGGCCCAATAGCAGCGTGCCTTATAATGTGGACCACAGAGTGAATATGACTGGTAAAGAAGACAGATTGTATGACATGTCTGATCAGCTCTGTACTGGAGAGGAGAAGCTGGAAGATCTGAAAAATACCTATCTGGATGTGTCTGAGCTAAGAATCACGAACAATGTCAGACAAGCTGTGTACGCTATGGCTTACGCCCTGGATCGTCTGAGCAGATGTGACATACCGGTAGAAGAAAGGAAACAGAGAGAATGTTCACATATACCTGACTTTGAGGCCAGGGAGGTAAGTTACTGCACCGTATAATATAGCATGAGATAAAATCAAGTTTTTGCTGCCAAGTTCATACCATTAAAACTGCTGATTTGTTTCCATATGATTTTGTACACCAAATTATTAGGTTTGTTGTCAATGAGTAAAAAAAAAAAAACACAACTGAGCTACAAAAAAATTAATGCCTTTTAAAAAAAATAGGTGTTTTTCTTCTCAGAAATGAAATTTAAAGGTATCTAGGAGTAGAACATGTTAGTGACTCTGGTTTCTTCATTTTATTTGTTCCCTGTATGCAATATAGATCTTGTAATCTAAGATAACTACTTGGGTTCCAAAACATCATGTTAATGTTATGGAAAGACAGGTATGTCCCTCAAGTTTAGGATGACTCCTGAATATTACATACAATTTTCCTTACACTCCAGCATTTTTATCTTAACCATTGGTCTTATCTATCTTGAAGGAAAGACTAGAAGATGACGTCTCCATACAGTACAGGAGCCACACAAAAGCGTGGATGTCAGGGCTAAATACTATAGGGTTATCTGGGAGGCTTACATCTGTGGTCCCTGTGCTTCATCTCCTGTCAGACGATTCATGTTGGTACCCGGTAGCCTGAGCAGACATGCCAAGTGTGACCTCACCCAAGATTCCCTGCTTATATCTGTTCTTGCCTCCCTTCTCACTGGAAATAGAACTTGAGCATCCCAGCTCTGGCCCTGTAGGCCCTGCAGGATGTCCACTTTGCATCTCTGATGTGTTGCTTCTTCCTTGCCTGATCATTACCACTTTACTCCCCTGTAACTCTGTCAATTTAACAGGCCACAGTGTCTGGAACCCTTGTATTTCCACTCACCTTTTATTTCCATACTAGTCCACTCTGCTTTCAGTGCTGACTGTTCTTAGTCCCCCAGTTGACACCCATCAATCTGTGGTGCCCCCCCACCATCCAATCTGTGACCATTGTTTTTTAACATTTTTCTTATCCTGTATACTTTGTTTTAAAGCTTTATTTTATTTTACTTAATGTTTGCCTGTTATGCATTTATGTCATTTATCTGGCATGACTATACCCACAGGGAAAAGAAGAGAGGCTCAGCTCCCTTAAAACTAGAGTTATAGATGGTTAGGAAACACCATGTGGGTCTTAGAATCAAAGCTGGGTCCTCTGCAAGAGTGACAAATGCTCTTAGCCACCAATCCATTCCTCCAGCCCCTTATCCTTAATACTTTTATTTTATTTTATTAATTACACTTTATTCATTTTGTATCCCTCCATAAGCCCGTCCCTCCTCCCCTCCCGATCCCACCCTCCCTCCCCTTTCTGCATGCATGCCACTCCCCAAGTCCACTGATAGGGGAGGTTCTCCTCTCCTTTCTGATCTTAGTCTTTCAGTTCTCATCAAAAGTGGCTGCATTGTCCTCTACCATGGCCTGGTAAGGCTGCTCCTCCCTCAGGGGGAGGTGATCAACGAGCAGGCCAATCAGATTATGTCAGAGGCAGTCCCTCTTCCCATTACTATGTAACCCACTTGGACACTGAACTGCCATGGGCTACACCTTTAATCAATGCTGATCAGGTGTTTTTAGACTGACTGTCAATTTAGGTTTGTCTAATTTTTTATCATGATTAGGCTGAAATATACATTATTTGGAAAACAGAGATGGTATTGTGTCTGCTTTTAGATTTATTTTATTTTATGCAGATAAATGTTTTGTCTGTGTGAATGTATGTGCACCACATGCATGCCTGGTACCAATGAAGGTTAGAAAAGGGCACTAGATCCTGTGGAACTGGAATTAAAGGCAATTTTGAGCTGCCTGGGAATCAAATCTTGTTATCTACAAGATCAAGAAGTGCTACAAATATGTGAGCAATTTCTACAGCCCCAATTTTGTCCTTTTTAAATGCTGCATACCAGAGGTCAAGTGATATAATTATATTTCATTATTGCTGTTAAGTGATGCCATCATTTTTCTTACCACAAAATACTGTGTTTCTATGGAATTAATAATTTTCTTGTAGTCGTCACTCATGCCTTCTACCCTAACTGAGACACCATTGCTGTGGGTTCAATGCTAACTCCAGCTACATTGTGAGTTCCAGGCACGCTAGAGATACACAGTAAAACCCTCTCCCAAATATCAAAATAACAATAGTATAGTCATCTTGCTGGCAATATTTTCCAGCTAGAAAAGTGTCTTGCTTTTCATCATACTTTCCCCCCACCAACTTTTCTATCCATTTAAAATTATTTTTGCCCTAAATACCTATTCCCTATCTGCTTGAAAACTGATCTTTTGCCATTTTCTCATTCTATCTATATGTTATCTGGACTTCTACTTTTTCCTCTACAAATTCTGAATATCAAGATAGACTTGAGAAAAAAAATTTATGTGCATTAATTCATAATATATTTATTTTGCTTGTAGATACTCACAAACTTGACTGTTGGAAGTCACTTTGAATAGGCTCTCATCTCTGCCCCTACTTTAAAGTCAGCTATTTGGGTAGAGTGTACTGTGTCCAGTTACTAACATGGAGCTTAGAAACAAAGCAGCATCCAAATGCTAAGGATGCCAAATAGGGTTTTATTAACAATCTGACCCAACCTAGAATCACCTGGGAAGGGGGAAATGACCAGATTGCCCTTGTGTCTCTAATAGCTTGTCTTGATTGACATTTGATGTGGGAGGCCTCAGTCCACTTTGACTGGCACCGTCACCGGGCAGGGGGAACTAGACATTATAAGAAAGACATCTCATCATATGCCAGAGAGCAAGGCCATCAGCAGCATTCCTTTGCGCCTCTGCCTTCAGGTTCTTAACCTGGTTTCCATCAACTACGGATTGGGACCCGTAAATGTCAAACGAATAACTCTTTCTTCCCCCAAATTGATTTTAGTTATGTCATTTGTCACAGCAACAGAACAAAAGTAAAACAAGAGATATGTTCACTGGTACTCAGAAAGCTGTGACAAATACACAGTGATAGACTCAATTATATTTTAGGTGTCAAGGATATATTTTTTTTTTTTACTAGAAGTCCTTTGAACACTTTTGTCATGATAAATACTCTTGAGTACTGAAAAATGATTCTATAGCTTATCTGAACATTGAAATGCTAAATTTAAATTTGCTCAAAGAAACAGTTATTGCAGGAGAAACAGGCATTACAGATGGTCTAGAGACCCCATGGTGCCATGATGAAAGTTAGTAGCTGTCCATACCAAGGGTTGTTCTCCATATAGCACCATATGTCAACAAGTTAAAAGAAAATCTAAGTCCTTGCATTAGAGAATAATATATAAACAGAAAAGCCTAGTAAGTGTATAGTATGTTTAACAGAAACCAAAAACACACAGTCTTTACCTATCTTTAAAGCTTATCCTACCGATAATCATGGTTAGAAAACCTTTCAAATTCTGTTATTTACTTGTACATTTCAAAATTCTTCTGCCTTATTTTCTCCTTATTTTTCTTTTTCTGCTTCTTTTTCTTCTCCTTCTTCTGACTGAAGATTATTCTTTGTATCAGTCTCCAGGAATAGATTCATGCCCAATACCCACCTGGCATTTCTAAATTCTTGAGAAATATATGATGGTAGAGAATTATGTCCTACCATCCAAAAATGACAAGCAAATGAAGCTGTGGGAAGGCTGATCTAGGGTAGGGTCTGAGTGTGGAAGTCTTTGGCTATTTACTTTGACTCCTTTAATAAGGAGGAGGAAAAAGGAACATTTCATGGATTTGGCAATGAAAGCAAAATTTTTATTATTTCTGACATATATTTCATTGGAATTGAAAAGAATGGTCAGAAAAAGAGACAAAAGAGAAATAAGAGGCCAGATGACAAAAATTAGCCCCAGGCATGAATGATGACTAAACCACTTTCTTAGTCTATTCGCTTAGCACATTCTTTCAGGTATATAGCCTTAATTACTATGACAAAGATTAGGAAGAATAATATCTTCTCTTTACAAACCAGGCAAATAATGCTTGCTATATGTGTGCCTTGCTTATGGTCATAATATTTAAAAGAACCAAAAGACTTCAGGTCTTCCGACACCATCATATAGACTGTTCCTACCAGCTTCTGTAGCCATTCTGATCTGCAGAGAGCTAATAACCACAGTAGGTCCTTTGGGTGAGAAATCCAAGTGCAGAATGTAGTGTAGATGAAGGTCAGGGCTGTGTGCTGTGTGATGGACTACCTTTATGCTGAAGAAAGCAAGCTCTTACCAACCTACAGTTAATAAGGTAAGGGGTGAGTTAGAGAAAGTTATTTTCTCATAGGATTCTTGTCAACATCTATCTTTGATCCGATAGGCTTAACAACAGTCCCATGAACTCTTGTACCACTGGCCTTGTCCTTTTCTGCACTATAGAGGCTTAGAATGCAGAAGCATATTCTGAAGGCAATTTCCTGATAATCTTTTATAGCCCAGCTAAAGTGGACTCTTTCTGAGAAACGAAGAATCTCCAATGTCCTAAGTCAATCAGCCATTACCTCCCCTGTGCCCTTTCAACATTCTTTCTACAAGAGCAACTGTTAGGTGACAAAATATTTAATGGGAAAACACAGCACAGACATCCACTTGCCCCAGATAGGGAGCCCACACAGACCAAAGTTCAGATGCCACCAAAGTCCAACTTAGTGAACCAATGAATTTTGTTGGGGTTACTTAAAGGAATATGAATGAGGGGTTACTTACAGGAGCAGAAATGACTCACAGACAGATGCATCACCAAGACCCACCTCAGCCTGGGTGACAGCTACAAAAACTGGGCACCTGGAGCACCCTGCACAGCCTTCCGGGAGCTCAGAGGAGCATCCTATCCAAGTTGGTCTAAACAACTTCCAGTCAACTCAGCTGGCTTCTTTCTTCCCAGCAGATGGACTGGTCTCAAGAGTCTTCCTTAAGCTTCACTTGTCTGGGTCTTCTTTGCACTTTAACATATTTGGTCAGGAAGGATTCTCAGCTTTCCTTGCTTAGTCTGTCAGTCAGTCA